TCTTTGAAATCCTTATAGATAGAAAGTTAAAATCTGAAATGGTTCCGCAGGAATCGGTTTCGGTTGACGAGGAGCTGACTATAATCTGGATAGATATATATGCTAAAAGGACACGATATCTTTGAAAACCTTATAGATAGAGCTGGATGTTGATACGAATAAGTGAGGCATCTGCAGCTTAATAAATTGACCACGGAGTAAAATAAGTGTCAAGGCTTTATAAACTTTATGATTTATAAATTTGCAGCATATATTTAATTTGCATTGGGCCTGAATAAATGTTACAGAACTTTGCGTTGTAAATTTCAATAAATTTTCATTATTTGTAAACATGCGTTTAAAAGTTTCCCTTTTTTACAGCGTTTTTTTTTTTTTTTGATACTTTTATTTTTAATTTGTTTGCTTTAATTGCAAATAATTTTTAAACTTTGTGCGCGCGCGGTCAAAGGGCAGCGTCCAGAGAAATACATAAAAATACATTTAAAAGTGGCGAAGAGCTGGCACATGGAGCTGGGACTGTGGCCAGGGGATTGGGAATGGGTGCCCGCAGTGGAGTAAATAAATTGCTATTAATTTTTCAGCGCTGTTCGTCAAGTGGCGAACGGCGCCGAGACGACGATGTCAGGAGCCGGAACTGGAGCCGGAGCTGGAGCCGGAGCTGGAGACCTGGAGCTGGCCATGGGGTAGGACACCTAAAGTGCATATAATTTTTCAATTTGAAATGTTTCGTGTGCAGACACATGGCCAACCATGGTCTGTGGTGGCCAAAAAGGTGGCAACTTTTAGCGCCGGACCCAAATGAATTGTGGCCAAAAAGTTGCGACTGTTTTTATTTGTGCACGCGTGTGTGTGCGTGTGTGTGTGAGTGCGTGTGTGTGTGCAGCGCAGTTAAGCAAATATTTAATTGCTGCACTTTTTCTGGCACTCGCATTGTTATGGCTGAAAGTTTGCCAGCGTCAGTCAATTTTTTGTTTTTGCTTTTGGCCAACACATTTCGGGTTTGGCCAATAATTTATGTGCTGCCATTTGCTCAACAATTACGGCCTTGCATGCTATCTCTGTCTCGCCCCTCTCTCTCTCTCTCTCTCTCTCACTCACTCACTCACTCTCTCTGTCACGCTGAAGCGCTGTTAATGATGTTGACCTTTGCAACAAAATGTTGCACGTTGTTAACTTTAAAGCCGCGCGACGTCTGCGGCCAATTTAAATGGCTTTTCAATAACAATTGTTATTTAAACAAAAACAGAAAAAAAACAACAACAACTTGTGTTGCCTACTTATGCGCATGATTTCAATAATGAGCAATGCGCGCGGCTATTGTTGTTGTTGTTGCATAATTAATTGTTTTCACACATAATAATTTAATGCGCGTGTACACGTGTAAAGAGCCCCCCGCCCATCAATTATAAATATGGCAATAAATGCGCATTGGCCATAGTTGCCATATGTCAACCCACTGTTGGCCAATATCCTGTTGCCATTTGTGCACTTTGCATGTGTTTCAATGTTTAAATGTCATTAACAAAGCCGTAAATTATGTGTGCCCCGCAGCAAACGTGCCCCAGCTGTGTGGCTGCAACAAAAGTGCAAACAGGTTGACCCAACGTTGGCTCCCCGGCAACCCCCGCCCAGGGACTGGAGGCTGTCTGGCTTAATAAACCCACTCACAACTCGATGTGCTGCTCTTGCGGCTTTATTAGCTTTTTGATGCACGACCCCTGCTTATGACGGCTTAGGTAAATATTAATAACGCCAGCAGTTGCCAAAAAAAAAAAAAAAGAGAAGTACAAAATGCAACAGCTACAGTGAACATTGCCTTAAGGTAAGGATAGATTTATAATATACTAAGTATAAGTTTCAACTTCCTTGCTCTTACTGTCAGTCAATCAATCAGTCAGTCAGTCGGTCAATCAGTCAGTTAGTCAATCAGTCAGTAATTCTGTCAGTCAGTCAGTCAGTCAGTCAGTAAGTCAATCAGTCAATCAGTCAGTCAGTCAGTCTGTCAGTCAATCAGTCAGAAATTCTGCCAGTCAGTCAGTCTGTCCGTCATTCAGTCCGTCAGTCATTCAGGACAAACATTTTTTTATAGATGTATATAGAGATTAACCTGACCTCTTTCTTTCTGTAGGAGCACTAGTTACACGCAACGTCTATGTTCAGACAGCTTTGATAATTGAATATTATATATTTTTAATTTTATGATAATTATTAGTTATTTATTTTTGAGATTCAAAAAATATTCAATCTTTTAAAGATATTTTCGAATAAGTCCTCAAATATTTGTAAGTAGAGTAAAACCTTTTTATGTTCCAAGCTTGAAATCATAGTTTTGATGATAATTATTGTAACTATATTTAAAACTGCGTGACTCTAATTATTTATGGTAAATTTTCGATTTCATAATTATCTTTTTTCTTTATTATTAGCTACTGTGGCCTTTGGCTTCCTTATCAACATATCCAGACCCTCTAGAGCTCCAACCCACATTGTGCAGCTGCCCTAAAGACTCACTTGAACAGCTCGGACAGGCAGTTGATGATTCTGCTATTTCGCTTAAATATGCCCAAATATGAATCTTCTCAAGGCATTTTAGGCATTTTTCACTGTAACTGGTGAGACGAGTAAAAGTACGACTGGCCTCTCATATGAACAATCAGATAGCTTGAAGCTGTCCAACTTTTTCATTTCGGCTCTACTCGCATGAAGGTAAAAAAAAGCAGCAGCAAAAACAAAAAAATAAAGCTAGATAAAAAGCCGAACTAGCCATATGAATTTATGAGCAATGCGTGATGGGGGGCGTACAATGCTTGTGGCTGGGTCCGCCCCCTTTGCAGCTGGCCCAGCCAAAAAACAGAAGTAGAAGAAGAGAAATGCAACAAAATTATAATTTATGTGGCTTTAATAGCCGCTGGGTGCCTCATGCCACAAGGTGTGCGAGTGTGCGTGTGTGTGTGTGTGTGTGTGTGTCCCTCCCTCAATACACAACTTGCCGCTTATCGCTGGCCGTCTGAAGCAGTCCAGTGTGTGTGTGCGTGTGTGTGTGAGTGTGTGTTTTTTATTATTGTGGCGAGGAGTGGGTAGGCCGTAAGCGCGTAAGTGTTGGTACGTCTTATCAGGGCCTGCCTGTAGCAACATTTATTTTAATGCCTTATCACACGGCCAGCCCAAGACGAACGCGAACGCAGAACAACAACTGCACAATTGGGAGTTACGAGTGTGTGACTGACAGCCCCACACACACACGCAAACACACACACACACACGCACATACTTGTAGACCTTATATACTACATAGACCTTATGATAGGCCGCCACAAAGTGTGACAGACGTGTACGCACTTGCTATCTCACTTTATTGTACTTGTATCTCACTCGGTTTCTTCTTAGCCAATGCTCCCCTGATAATACTTTTTGTTGTTCCATTTTTTTTCATCTTCTACTGCTTCTTCTTGTTTTTGTTGTGTGGCGCGTCATTGGGTTTTTTCGTCGGTGTGTGTCTGTGTGTGTGTGCCTCAGTGTGTGTGTGTGTGTGTGTGTGTGTGGGGTTTGGTAAACGCCTACGTTTTTATTTAATGCCAGTATTTGGTGCTTGTTTTCGTTTTTTATTATGACGGTGTTGCTTATCATAGTTTATAGTGTTCGTTGTTGTTGCTGTTGTTGTTGCTGTTGCCTTGCTGATAAACTTTACGTAAGCATAAGAAAATAACAACAATCTTTTTAATTCCACGAAAAGAAAAACTCTTGAATGTTGGAAAAACCCACAACATATTTGTTATCTTCGCACAAAAAAAAAAACTACAAAGAAAAAAAATATACAGAAAAAACTAAAAAAATTACAGAAAATAAAGGAGAACAAAATGGCCTGTCCCATGTGTTTAGTTTTTATCTGGGGCTTAATTATTTACTCATTTGACTTCGATATATATTGTATAAAATTTATATATAAATAATTCATATTGTGTCAACAGGAAACGTGGGCACATTCATAAGGTTGATGCTGTGCTTGGCACCGTCGTTATCCGTTGCCCACTTTCCGCTCACATGCGAAGCCAACAACAACAACAACAACAACCACAACAACGACAACAACAAAAGCAACAACAACTATCTGAACAAAGCGCGCGCATTGTGTTCAATGTGCGTTGCTCAAAGATCAACTGAAGCGGGCGCTTTGCGTGTTTATGATCAGCTTTTTGAGCGGGTTTGCGCTGTTGATGGTGTTGAGGGGGTGGGGGTGGTGGACATAGATCAGACGCATGAGTAAGTTGCGCTTGTTGCGCTAACTCGTACAACATGAACTTTAACCCTGCGACCGGCCACAACAACTGCGACTTGTATAAAAAATATTTGATCACCATTTCGCAGAGTCTGCTGACTCACGATCTAAGTAGCTTGTGCCCGTGAAGTCTTCAATTTTAGTTATTCACCCCTTTTCCGATAGTTTGAGTGGATTTCTTTTAATTCGCAGAAACGTCTCAAAAGTGTCACAGTACAATGGCAAGTAAATAATACGTGATTTTCACAGGCTCTAAAATGAATTGAGCTAACCACTCTTTTTCCGACAGTTAACGTGAATTTCTACAAATATTGCAGCACATCTCAAGAAAAGGATTTTTGGTAGATATGATTATTTTAATTATCCACCTTTTTTCCAATTATTAACGGGGATTTCGTAAAGGCAATTGACTGTATTCTTAGATGTGCATTTTTACTTATTCACCCATTTTTCGATCGGTGGATTTGGAAATTTGATGAAACGCTTTAAAAAGGAAATGTTACAAAACTATTGAATATAATTTTGAAAATCTATTTCATGAGCAATAATAAAGTTGCGTTTGTCAGGTTTTCACCTATTTTCCGCCTTTGTTGGCGAAAATCTTAATAACCCTGACTAATATATATATATATATATATATACATATATATAAATGACTCCCGACCTCGAGCTAGCCAATTAAATAATTATATAAATATAATATAATATAGAGAGAGAAACTCACCTGAGTCACATTCTGCGTGGTTTGCGGGCCCGGGGGTGAGTGGAGCAGCTGATGTTGTTCGAGCTGCTCGCGGCTGGGAAAGGCCGCAGTGCATTGCATGCAGGGAAAGGCGGCGCTGAGATCGCCCGTTGTGGAGCCCGGGCTGGAGGTGGAACGGGGAGCACTCAAGTCCAAATCATAAGCGGAATTGCTGCCGACGCTGCTGTTGCTGCCGGGCTGTGGCGGTGGCAACAGCAAAGCCTGCTGCAGCTGCGGCTGCTGCTGCTGTTGTTGCTGCTGTTGCTGCTGCTGCTGCTGTTGGTGCTGCTGCTGTTGGTGCTGCTGTTGGTGGCTGGGCGAACTGGCGGAGCGTGCGGACTGCATGGCCAGGGCAGCGGCGGCCATGAACTGTGCATGCAAATGGGCGGGCAGCTGCGGCGGCGGATGCGGCAGGTGGGCAAACAAATCGCTGGGCGTAGTGGCAACCGGGGAGCACAGAGGCGAGTGCTGGCTTCTGTGGCTGCTGCTGCCACTGTGGCTGTTATTGTTGTTGTTGTTTTGATTCTTGGCCAACTCGCTGTTGTTGTTGTTGTTGTTATTGTTGTTGTTGTTGCTGTTTGGGGACTTGGCATAGCGGCGACTGCTGCTGCTCAAATTACTCTGCTCATCCTCCTCCGCCTCGCTCTCCGGCTGCGCAGCCTCAGCAGCGACCCGATGTGGCTCATAGTTAAGCTTGTCGTGCGGATGCTCGTTGGCAATGTGCTCGCTGAACGACTAAAGGGTGAGGAAGGTCTCATGGTTATGGTCCGTCTATAAACGCATGTCAGCCAAGCGGAGACTCACCTGAAACTCATTGAAGCGCTTGTGGCACTGCGTGCACTTGACCAAACAGTCGTCGGCTGCATTCGCTGTGGCGCTGGCCGCAATCTCCGGATTGGCAGCCACATTGCTGGGCTTGTTGTGTGCTTGGTGATGATGCAAATTGGAGGCCAAAGAGGAAACTGCAGAGAGAGAGAGAGAGAGAGAGAGAGTTAAGTGTGTGTCAAGGCATGTAATGGGATGGGAAAGTGGATACAAGAAAACTGTTTAACAAATCTTTGAATTTTCACACCAAATAGGTCAGAAATTAAGTGAAATGTTATTTAAAATAAGTTTGTTAACAATAATTTGGTTAAAAATTTGGATTATTTTCGTTATGCACTGAGAGAAACTCTACGCCTAAAATTTTATCAAAAAAACTAATAAAACAAACTTTAAATATTGACAATTATTATTGGCTTAAATAACTCTCAAAAAAAAAAATTGAAAATAATATAGATTGTGCATAAATATTGTGCCTTAAACTTGTTATTGAATATTCCACAGAGAGGGAAATGCTAAATAAATTACCAAAAACTGATATTTAAAAAATAAAATAAATCTATAAAAATGTAAAAGAAAAAAAATTAAGATTTGAATGTTCAGCTTTTAGTTCTTTTAGCTCTGTAGCATAATCTGAAAAACAAATTAAATCGATTATATTTCTTTGCAGAACCTAACGTAAGTGTTCCTCAAACTGAAGACGGCCATTTTGCAATTAAGCAGCATTTTTTAATGAAAACAAATTAACTGTGAGATCTGCACAGGCGATAAGCAGCAAGAAGCAGACCTAAATGGCATGCCACACATAAGGGCCACAGTATGCAAGTGGAGCAGCAGCAAAGGGGCTTGAGAGGAGGGGGTCTAAGAGGAGGAGGGGCTGCCGTGTGGCCGGGGGCAACTTGAGCTTAAGCACCGAAGATCGACATTAATTTCGTGGCAAATCAACTTTACCGCTGCCAAAGTCAGTGCTACGAGCCACAACCCCTGCCACAACAGCCTGCCCCGCCTGTGGCATTGTGGTTGCCGTTGCCTTTGCCGTTGCCTTCACGCAACGATTCCACGTAAAAGGCGATGATCTCATGCGCCAATCAAAAGCAGAAAAAATAAAAGACTGGAACTGGTTTACACACACACACACACACACGTGCACACACTGGAACTGGCTGAAGAGTCGACTTAATCAGTTCAAAAAAGCGTTCAAGCATGCGAAAAAGGAGATCATATAGAACGTGAACGGCAAGGCAAGGCAGAAGACAAAAAAAAAAAAAGAAAAAACAGAAAAAAACGAAAAAAAAAGTATCTTGAAGATTGCTTTGTTCAATGACGACGTCGCTGGCAATGCCGATGCCGAGGGTCAGCCAATTGCTATACACACACACATACACATAATAAATGACTGTGTGTGTGTGTGTGTGCGTGTGTGTGTGTGAGATACTTATGGCCGCTGAGTCGCTTGGTAAATAAGCAACTTTGTTGTATCTGCGACTGGGCCCAGGCACGTTGCAAGGTACAAAATGGAGTTTCAGCTCACGCTGTGTGTATCTCACAATGGGAGTCTTTGTTGTTGCTGTCGCTGCTGCTGCTGCTGTTGCTGTTGCTGCTGCTGCTATTTGATCGCTACCTTAATTTAAGCCAATTAACCGCCTGCAGACAGATGCCGCTCATAGGGGCACTCACATGTGCAGCGCTAAATTAATGGGTCTGTGTACGCGCATACCTTGTTTTTTGTATCTGTAGCCGTATCTGTATCTGTGGAATGTATCTGTATCTGTATCTTGTGGCCGGCCTGGCAATCAAGCGCAATCTAAAGCAGAGTTCGTTGCACGTTCTGTTGTTATTTTCACTTTCAATAGTTTTTCCTATAAGGTTTTCTTTTATATAATTTTTTTTTTTATTGATATTACACAGTTAATTGATTCAGATACAGTTTGATTTGCGTTGCTGAGATGCGGGCTTTTAGTTACTTGGAGGTAATTTCAATTACTGCTATTTCTGGCATGCAACGTGACCCGCATTGCGTCTGCAGCCCCCTCACCTAGCGCCCAATGCTAATCATTCTAATTAGAGCTCGCACACTCCGAATTTGCTCCATTTTAAATGCCATCAAAAAACATAAATAAAAAATAGCAACAGCTGCTTGTATTACAGCACTTTCTGGTCGCGTCTACATTTCAGTTAATAATTTTGTGAAAATTTATTTCTTGCTGCCCGTTTAATGACGTTTTTATTAAATGAATCTGTCGGCCATTCGCTCATCTTCATAAAATATGCAAGTTGTTAAAACGTGAACCACAAAGAGAAAAATATATTAAAACACCAAACAAATTTTATGGCTTTTTTCATCATCATAATGGCGGGCTTCGGGCTTGAATGCCTGGGGTATCTGGGCTGAGTGTGTGTGCGTGTGTGTGTGTGTGTGTGAGTGTGTGCGACACTCAACACTCAACAAGTGTGTCACCAGCTCATTTAGTTCAATCAATTTTTCATAACAGAAATTATTAACGCAACGTGGAAAAAGCCGTTTCGCATTTTGCACTTATTTCTTTTTAATACCCTGTAACAATTAAAAGTGCGTAGGCAGGGTATGCTAAAGTGCAGCTCATTGAATGGGAAAATTCCTTGGTCAAGAACTATGTGCAAATTCATTTACGCAGTTCTGTCTTAGGCCCTGAGACTTTTCGAAGTCTTGAACAAGTTAATTGCAATTGTTTCATTTATTTATTTTTTAATTTAGCCTTTAATTTGTCTCACAAGTGAGTTTCTGCCTGCGTACAGGGTATCTCTTATTCGAGCATTGATATTTGTTTGTCATTGTCATATGTAAGCAATGGTATTGAAATATTGAAAGTGTCTGCAAATTAATTTCAATTTGTGAAGTGAAAAAAACAACAGATCTCAAACGAATTTTGATAGTCACATCAAATGTTTCTTTATTGTTGCTTTAGTGTTTCTTGTTGTTCTTGTTGTTGCTGTTGTTGCTGGCCAACTATTTGGCGCTTACGCAGGCCAATTGAAGTTGATTGATAGTGTTTTATAGTCAGGAGAGAGAACCCATCAAAGCAGATTTGCCCAAGCAGCCAGGAAATATGCTGTGTATCTTAATCTATTTTTGGCTGATGGAATGTCTTTTATGAATATGATTTCATGGTTTAATTCTTGTGGACCACTTCTAAAGCTCAAAGCGCTTATTTTTAGTAGAATTATGGCCAAATTTCATGGAGATCAGTTATTTTTCCGAAGTTCTTTATTAATTAACAGATGCTTGCCTTAACAGCGCACTTTAACAGCCAGCTGTTAGCTCTAAAAACGAGTTCATGTTGTGTTAACAGTCTATGCCAAAATAAATACAAACACCTGTTGATCTGCAAAAAATGAAAATTTAAATTGAATGCTATTAGATGCGACACAAATGCATATCAAAATGCCAGATTTGATGAACTTTTTAAGAATATCGTAAGAATTGTGGGAAATGCCAGCTGTTAAATGATTTGACAGCTCCAAAGGCGCAAATATTTTGACAGAATAGATGTGATAGCTGCCTAGAATTTATGCCACACGTTTGCCAAAGCAACAAAAACCACAATTTAAAACAATAAAAATATAAAATTGAGCTCTCGTGTGATAGCGGCACATGAAATGCCGTGTGGTTCTTTGTTGTGGCTCGGGTTGCTCAACTTTTGCGGCCGACTGGTGACGGCACAGAATGAAATCAAGGAATTGGTGTCAATGCTGGTTCACCTGTGCTACACGCGCGGCCCAAAATAGTCGAAAAGGGGGGCATAGCGTATAGGGGGGTATATGTATATTATAAATAATATGTATGTATGTGGGTTGAGGGGGGAGACAGCGTAAATCAATGAAAAATAAAAACTACATTTGTGCTAACGTGCAAGGCGACAGATACATTTGTATCTGTATTTGTTAGTTGTGGCTGCTGTTGTTGTTGTTGGCTTTTGCGTTCCACTAATTTTATGTGCTTTTTATTGCCAGCTTTTATTAGCCCCAGACATTCTTCAGCTAAGCTCGGCTAATGCCAATTTATTTATTTCGTTTCATTTCATTTTGCCATCTTTTTACTTTCAGTTCTCGAAACGATTTTCACGTTTAATTTATGGCCAGCGGTTGCAGGCGGACGGCTTTTACCTGCGCCCAGTTCTGGGCTGATGGAACATTTCTCATGCTCATTTGGCTGTCTGATTTTAAAGTGTTTTTAATATTTCAATGACAGGCGCTTGTCAAACACGCCCAAACGAAATGTAAACCGATGACATTTTCTATAGATTTTTTATTCTTGTTTATGTTTTTTTGCTGCTCAGGTAAGGGAATTTGTTGCTACTTTAGACATTTCTAATTGTTTAATTGTTGTTGTTGTTGCTGCCCGCTGCTGCGAAAGCGCTGACGCAGCTTCAGACAAATGGCCGACAGGTGGCGCCGCTTTCAATGACAATCGCTTTGCGAGTTTTTGTGTAAATAATAAACATAAATTTTAGCACTTAATTATAAACAGACACAACTCGTTGCAGCCGCTCATTTGCAGCTAGCGACATTTTTAGCATATTTATTAAATAAATTTACATAAAATTAGCTGCAAATGGCAGACGGTAATAAACACACACACACGCACTGCTGGGGCCTAATTGTGTTTGATAATGTAAGCGACACCTCTCTCAAGCATTAATTTATTTATTTAGCAATTAATTGGCGTGTAAATGTAAACCGGTGGGAAGGCCAATTTGTTTAGGTGTAAAATGTGAAATGCTTCGATATCGAATGCCAAAATACCGAAAATACCCAAAGCGGGGCGTGGGCGTGCGAAAGTTTACAATGATCGGTCTGGCAACTCCAAGCGCTAGCGCTCTTCTTCTTGCTGCCTGAATGTCCGTTCTCAAGTGGCAGCACTTGAGTCGCATATGAAAAACATATGCCCGGGACCCCGACTCAAATGCTAAGTAATAATCGCCGAGGCGTGCTAAATTTGGAACTCGCAGGGCACTTAAAGAGCGTAGGTATATAAAGGTGCATGCGAGTCGGGTAATACTTTCCGTATGTATGTGCATATACGCTCGCCGGGCACAAAGGTGGCTTAGGTAAAACAGCCTCAAGTGGCAATGCCAAAGGTGGCAGCCACGGCGAGCAACGC